CATCGGATGGCTTCTCCTCTATAATCAAGTGTTGATGACGAGAAGGGCTTCGACCCTGCCATCTGATCTCATCGTGTTAGTGTCACGCTATAGTTTAAGTATAGATCGACGAGGTCAAATCTGGGGAGTTAAATTGTCTACAAAGAGAAAAAGGGATTCCTGCTGAGTTCCAACAAGTTATTTACAAAATGAGTAACATGTTGAAGTATGTGTTGGAAATTGCGTTTTGGTTCCTAGAGGAAACCCACTCAAAGAATTTAGGCACAAATTTAATTTAATTCATAGCTAGTGAATCCAATGTATCGTTCACGTAATCTTATTTATATTGTATTATTTAAGACTAATAAATCACATTAATGTGTCTATGGTTTACTCCAATCCTTTGTATATAACGCTATTCTCATTATAGACTAGTGTGTAAGTGTGCTAGATTATTTCCAGCCAGCCTCGCCGATCGTTGCCCTCCATGGTGTAGCTCCAGGTTAAGCAACTGGTGCGAAATTACGAAATTATGTACCATGGTGCCACGGTATCAAGTTTGCAAAGGGGCTTTGGCAGGGCATTTAGCGTTTATACTAAGACGCCTTAGGCATAGTCATCTTCCATATTGGAGTTAGCCCCCGTATTTGTGCAAATTTTCGAAAAATTATGTATGGCGGTTTTTATGCGGACATCATAGTTTGCAGTGGGTCTTTCCTTCGTACTAAACCTAATTTGTATAATGATCGGCTGCATAAGATGTATGCATTTTGCTACTTGACTTTATAACTTTTTTACAAGAGTTTAAAGGTTTTCAAATTACAAGATAGAGCCAGTCTTATCCTAACCTTAGATCTGAACATGTGGCTGGAATATTTTCAGGCTTTAATATCTGGTTGTTCCCCCATCCGCATCTATCACAGCCTGACATCTTGCTGGCATACTCTGAATGGGTCTCACAAGATCTTCGGAAGACACGGAATCCCATGCCTCCTTTACAATGTTGCGAAGAATATCTTGAGTTCGCTGCTTTCCGCAACCCAGATTCGGATAATGACGCTGGATGTAATCCTTCACCTTATTCCAAACAGCTTCAATCGGGTTAAGATCAGGCGAGTTGGCCGGCCAGAAAATCGGTTGCATGATCCTCTGGCTCACATCTTCCATTGTAATTGCGGCTGTGTGGGCAGGAACATTATCCTGCATTACAGAAAGCCAAGGTCTCATCGAGAACATGCCATCGATAAGAGGAACTATCTTCTCGCAATATTTTTGGGAGTTAATGGAACCCCATTCCTTCTCCCAAAACAAACAAGGGCCTCTTTCTGGCCCTGTGAAGCAACCCCAGAGCATCCATCCGACCCTATTCTTCGATTTTTCTCCAACACAATCAGCGTTGTATCCTTGGGAAGTCTAGCTCATAATGTTAGAGCATCAAATTAACATCTTCTTATTGAGGAATGTACGAACACTTCTTGTCACCCATTCTCTAGAATGTCTTCCATCCTCTACCCAAGTTAGGTCTGTCCATAGAACTGACGCCCAGTCTTCATATGTCCAATTGAGATGAGCTTCAGCCCATTCTCTGCGTGTCTTCATAGTTTTCTGAGATACTGGAGGCTTTAGACGAGCCACATGTCGCTGATATCCTCTTTTTTAAGTTCTCTTTGGATTACCCGCTCGCTAACACCAAGATGTCTAAAGGGGCCAGAGGCGAGTTCCAGAAATGTTTTGCGGCAGTTTTCAGGTGAAGACTCAACGTAAGATATAATCTGATCAACATCATCTGTTTTCAGTCCTGAGGATGTTCTTTTTCTCTTTTTAGGTGATACAGTTCCGCGGCGCAGTGAATAATTAACTTGTCCCCGAGAAATGCCTAGTTGCGCGGCAATCTGCGTCTGATTTTTGCCAGATTCATGAAGCCCATAAATCTTAATTTTTCTTTTAATTTTTATTTGTTCATATCTAATTTTTCTGCTTACTAAAATGTTTTGATCTCTGGATAATTGTTTGATTCGAGGTGTTGAAGGTGGGGTTTGAGGTGGATTCATCTGTAAAATAAGGTTATTATCGAGTAAAGCCATGTGTCTTCTGAATAAATAACTTTGTATTTGAGAAATCTAATTCTTATTGTGACACAAGCATAAGGTGAGAAGAGTTGTGTAATTCTTTTTGCGGTCGGCGCTCATCAAAGCAATGGGAAAGAATTAGGGAGCGGGTTGGATTTGCATAAAATTGAGGGTGATATGACATCAAATTGTGCCCTCGGCTTGGGCCTGGAAATACAGGACAAGAATTATGTACCCTGTCGTAATCGGCGCTAACAGGGGTACAACCCCTGTAGCGAATATGCGCCCCATATAAATCCACTGAAAACTTGAAATCGTGGCACCACGGTATGTCACGAGATATGGATATAAATAAATAAATAATTTGAATTCCAACCAGTGACAACTCACAAGCCTCGGCAGTTAGCAACTGTAGATTCCGAAAATAGGGGAGCAGCCAAATTTTACCAAAGTAGAAAGTCTGGACGGTAAAAATTAAGTTTTCAAGTCTCGCCATTCTTTCTATATCGTAATCTGACAAGGGTCCAAAGTAGTCTGGCAATGCAAATACGAAGTGAGCACATGGGGCTCAACTCGTATTTACACAGAATAAAATTACCCGAAGTATTAAGTCTAGGTTGTCCATGTTGCTACCAATCATAGAATCCCGAGCACATGGTTATGTCCTGCCCCCGATGGTCAAATGGTAGAGGTGAGATATGGAGACAAGCCAAAGATCGGTCCTACGAAGCTATGCTAAGCAATCCTGGAGATATCAAAAGGATAACACAGTGGATCCTAAATCATGGCTGGATAGAGCAATTCCAGATGACAAAGGCGATCGAAATGCTGCTGAGGGAAAGGAAAATGTCAAATAATGCTTGGGGCGGATAGAGATAATCTGGTTAGTTTACATGGATGGCACTAAAGTGTAACTACGCTTCCTGAAGAAAATATGTGAAAACTAAAGACAACAAGTAGAAAGGTAGCTACGGGGAGCAAAGTAGGACTTGAATGGCCGAGGTTTTCTGGGATACATATAGTACAGGAAACTGCTATGAGATAGCTGGCTAGGCGCAGGGCGTTAAGTCAGGACAGCAAAGGTTTTTGGTGAAATTTTTGTCTTTATTAGATCATGTAAATTTCTGGCCACATATAGCCAGCATCAGTGGTGTTTGTGGGTCCCCCCGGGAACACGCACCCGTGTTAAGCCTCCTGGGTGTAGGGCTTTAGCCTGATTCGTTAAACAATTCAATCATCCAATCAATCAAGTAGAAAGGTGGGGGGGTTTTCACTATAAAGGTTTCCTTCCGGATAAATAGTATAGATTGTAGACACCTGCATGAGCCCATAGGGCGCCAAATCGGGATATTGAAATCAAATTCAAATAATTTATCATTCTGATTTGCCGCTTTGAGGCCCATGCAGGTTTTATCGGAAGATATGTAATTTCTGTAGGATGACACAATTTGACGTTTAAAACACTCACTCAAATTTCACTTGCAGACACCAGCAGAGGTTAGCCCTTACGGCGTATAACTTCTTCCGTGCATACCCACTACAGGGATTAGCGTGAAAAACCTGTGGTCATCCGAGTGTGCTTCTAATCGTCCCATAAATACAATATCTCCGCGAGAGAGTGGTTTGTAATGAGATATGAGGAAGAGACAAACGGCGAAAGCGATTTTTAATCCCCACAAAGTGACGAAGTTGTTATTCAATCTCAGCTCTACAGACTCTTGAGTGAGAGCTTAAGCTTATTTTTTTTTAAGATCATTTAATGTGTATTCAGCTATAGAGCTATAAAGCTATGACACATGACCGGTCCTATGTATACATCTAGGATGACTCTTTGTAACTTAGAGACACTCATACTCTGGATTTCGTGCGCAAATACCACTATGAGGTATGTTCGCTTACACAAACAGTCGACCCTCCTCCGTAAGTACCCACCAAAGGGCCGTTTCAAAACCTTTGGTTATCCAAGCATGTCTTCGTCATCCATGCACAGCAGCGCCGCGAGAAATGTGGTTGTGTTTTTCCGGATTTGAGCCAGCGATCTCCTGTCTCGAGTGGATATGTGTCCAAGCTATCCAGACTCAACTCGGCAGACCAGCCGAGACGATGTACCACCGCACCATCCAACCATGGCGGTATTTATAGTGTTGCCTGCACTCTCGCTGGACGCATGCAGTGCTGGTGTGAGAGATAACTTCTGTACTATTCCCCGGGGACCTAGACCGAAGATGTGTACCTCTCTCCACACCATGTGAGCATTGATAAAACCTCGACATTCTACCTCTCGCGTTATGCATTGCATGTGCTTGAAACTTGGCGTCAGAGAGACTCCGCCATTCAACCTTGCATACTATTGCTGGGAAAAAAGGAAACTACCTAACCTTTCCAACAGGCTTCATCACTTGAATCGTGTCCACCACGTCTCATAGGTATCAGGGTTATGCTTGGGACAGACGACTGGCCCGATGTCTTAGGCGAGGCTTCGCAAAGGTCTAGGAACCGCCCGAACACTTTTCCTTTTTCTATTCTTCTCCATGCGATTTTTTTCCGTCCTCCTACGTTCCAGTACTAGGCACCTTCCCTGCCACCTAAAAGGACATGGGCTCCAACAAGAGCTGCAGAGACAGAAATGCAATCAGCTACCAGTACATCCTGTCAACTCACAAACTTCCTCGTCCCCTTGACAAAGAATCATCTTACATACGTGCCTCTCGACTATCAGCCGGAAATGAACCTATCACCTTGCAAACACGATGGGACCGCTGCATTTTCTGCATCACCTCCCCAGCTTTGTGGAAGGCAGATTATCTATAAAGTCAACCTTATCTCACCCTCAATGGATTAGTTTAGGCGCCTCACTCCTCCTCAAGCGGCCTCCAATAATTCGATATATTAAATAATCAATTACATCTCTAATCCGTTTACCTTGCCCTATCATTGAACCTCGAAATTGTCATGGCAATAATGGCAGTAATCACGCCCGCGCCGGACCCGCCCGAATACATTCAAAGCTTGACCCATGAACAGAGGATTACGGCCGAAAAGGCCTTGAAGCGAAAGATTGATACTCGTCTCATGCCAACCATTGTCATCATGTTTATCCTAAATTACCTCGATCGCAACAATATATCGTCGGCTAAACTGGCTGGGCTACCAGAAGATCTTAAGCTAAAGGGTTCACAGTATCAGGTCCGTTGTCCCAAACATATAAAGTAATTGGTATAGTGAAATTCAATGCTAATAATGTCTTATCAGGTCGCTGTCTCAATATTTTTTTTTGGTTACCTAATTATGCAAGTTCCATCCAATTTATTTTTAAACAAGATTGGAAAACCAGCCGTTTATCTACCGACCTGTATGGTAATCTGGGGACTCCTCTCTCTAGCTACCGCTGCTACGCGTAACTTTGTTGGCCTGACCATCTGTCGGTTTATGCTTGGATTCGTTGAGGCCGCTTTTTTTGTGCGTCTAGTGCTCCCCATGATCCTAATATCCCACTTATATTTTTGCGTAGCCTGGATGCATGTTCCATCTCTCCTGCTGGTACACGCGTAAAGAATTAGCTTTTCGAACTGCAATATTTTTCTCGGGAATCCTCATTAGCGGAAGTATTTCTGGTTTGGTAACCGCTGGCATCAAGGCAAATTTGGATGGCCTACATGGTTTACGTGCCTGGCGCTGGCTCTTTATAATAGAAGGTGCCACAACAGTCGGACTGGCTCTATTGGGCACCATTGTACTACCCAACTTTCCTAGTACGACGAGCTGGCTAAATGCCGAAGAGAAACAGCTAGCTGTTTGGCGCCTTATCGAAGACGTAGGCCAAAAAGACTGGTCTGAAGATGACCAGCTATCATTTGTGGATGGCCTGAAATTGGCATTTACTGATTACAAAGTCTATATCTTGTTGTTCATTTGTTACGGTATAATCGCATCGGCATCTGTGACTAACTTTTTCCCGTAAGTCTCAATTACTTCTCTCCAATGCGTAAGCTTATCTGGTTTCAGGGCAATTGTCAAGACACTTGACTACAGTGATGTGACGACTTTGTTTCTCACCGCTCCTCCATATGCTGTCGGACTAGCCATGACTCTTTTAAATGCTTGGCATGCTGGTTCGTTGCCTTGCGCATTGCTTTCCCTGCAACTAATTTTTGGTGTTAGATCGTGTTCAAGAGCGTTCACTGCACATTATCGTTCCACTTATCTTCGCAGTAACTTCTTTCATAGTATCAGCGACTACTTCAAGTAATGCTCTGCGCTATACGGCCATGATTGTTATGGTGCCAGGTATTTTCAGTAGCTGCGTTATCGCATTGGCCTGGGTTTCCGATACCATCTCTCGGCCACCAATTAAGCGGGCCGTTGCTATTTCTTTTATAAATGCCGTATCGAACTCATCTCCGGTCTACTCATCTTATTTATATCGGGATACATCGGCTCCACGCTATGCCGCTGCCATGACCTTCAATAGCGTTATGTGCAGTGCAGCAATCGTGACTGTACTAGTCATGCGATATATCCTTATTCGCCAAAATCGTCAATTAGATGCAAAAGAAACATCTAAGGAAGACAAAAACTATGAATCTACGCATGGGCGGAAAAGCTTTCGTTACATTACGTAACGAGATAGAGGACATCAATATCACATGTTTAGAGATGAATCTTGAAAAAATTATTATAATAATAATAGTAATGATAATAATAACCTCTCCAGAAAGATCGAAATCAAGAGTATTTTCTGAGAGATCTTGATGGTGCAGTACAAGTTGAGTATTAAAGCTGCTTGTACATGCAGATTTTCACCATCAGACGCAACTATATGGGGATGATGAGTATGAAGCTAACAAGTTGGTAATCAGTTTGCATGATCTACTTGAACTCTCAGCATACTTATTAGTGGCGTTGCATGAAGCTTGGAAATCTAACATGACCTCATGGAGTCTAGGTTGCTGCAGATTCATAGCAACACTCGCATACTGTAACAACTTGTTGCCAAGTACAATTACCCGAGTTGGCATATGTATGGGTGCGTCATGACGTTAGATGGCTCAAAGTCTTGCCCCGCCGCTTCGTATTTGGAGGTGGGTCCTAAACTAGCTTCTTCAGGAGATATGGGGACTTGAATATAAAGAAGCAGCTTGATGGCTACATTGTCAGCCAGACTGCACCCTAGGAATTTATCATTTGTAATATAATTTAGCTTTTAGATTTTCTTGCTGAGAAATAGGTACCCTTATAACTCTCTCTTCTTTGGACCAGACACACCATGGCATACCTAGGACGACTCAGATCTCGGTTACCAGATCTTGTCTCTGATCATCAGCTCAGGCCTAGCTAGGCGTGAATTCTGTATCTACAGCCCAATCAGAAAACAGTTTTTTACTTTTCCAAGCATCGATTCGTAGGCAGAGAATGGTGCGATCAGGTATCAGCAGCACATAATCCTGTATGTTTAATTGCCAGTGCACTATGGAGGAAGATGACAGAATTACTATATGAATTTATCGCAGCCGGGAAGCGGACTCTTTCTTGCCACCATGATAATTCATCGTACAAGGTGCTTGTGTTAGCTTTGACCAGGCTGGCCTGCACTCTTCATCAGGCTAAGAGTTCATGCACGTTGTAATGTACGTCAGGCTACTGAATACGGGGAAGAGAGGGCTGAAGGAACTGCAGCACGATAAGGCCAGCTAACCATATGTAGTCGGACGGTATAGCTTGTAGCCAGGCATTACCTTGGAGCGGTGGAGGACGCTATTCAGCGCCGATCAGATCTTTGTATGTCATTTCCTGTCGGGGCTAGACCCTGAGACGCGCCTGATCAAGCATCCAAGGCAAATGGCTCGGGGTTTCAGAGCCATCTTGGAATAACGGCTCCCACCTGTGACCCTCAAATCCGCGAGAGTTCGTAGCGTAATGACAACGCGCGAACATTTTCGCAGGCTCGCCATGATCATCACAGCTACAGTAGCTATGTCAGTCTGAGGCCTACACAGCAGAGCTCGTAGCACGAGCTAGGAGAAGAGGTGGTGGATGCGGACCTTTCCCCTTTCGAACAATACTAGCAAAGCTGGGACACCGCAGCGACGTGGTGAGGACGATATCGGGGTCAAGTCGGGTTTGTTAGGCGCCAGAGTCTGAGGAAGGTCTCGCTGAACAGCACTACCCGGTCTGTTGCGGATCAGAAGGATTTCGCGTCTGCTTGCTGCACAGGGGCCGCAGCAAGGCCCCGGTTATTTGTGCGTCAGCGTGACCATTGATCTACGCCTAGGCTGCCACCGGAGTTATTGTCTCCGCCTAGTTCGCCGCGTCGGCTCGGGAATGCGGGCCCGACTACGTCACGCAGCACAACACTCGGGAAATTGGCAACTGGGCGCCCACAGTCCCTCTCGCTACCAGAATCTCTCAGACAAGCGCATCCACCTCATCCGGGAGTATTCTTAACAAAAAGAGAAGTTTCAAGAGTCTGACCTGGCCGATTAGCCTTCCATTGCACGATCCAGCCTCAGATATTTCCACCGTGTCGTAGGCGCCCCCACAAGGAAAGAATCAGCGCGCACGGTATTCTTCAAGACTCAATTTTCATGCCATGATTACATCTCCGCCCATGGCGTGACTGATTCGACGGTGGGTATTGTCACTCAAAATCTTTAGTGATCTGTACTTGCAGACTCTACGAGGTTTTGGTGGTGATCATTCTTTCGCTGGCTTAGAAACCGATTTGGTGGAAGTCTCTAGCTATTGCCTCGAAATCCGAAATCCTTGTACCACACAATTTGTCTGGTCTTCAACTCGGAGATGTTTCATCGGGGTAACAGTACAAAGCACAGCTGAGTCTCGGTTGCCAATGCATGGGCAGGCTGATCGGAAATAATTACTTGGAAACAGGTGATAGGAGCAATTAAGAAGGCCATACAACCTTTCATGGAGAATGCGGGCAACGCAAACCATGTGAGGCGGAGTGCAAGGACGGAACATCTGTTCCCGGTGTCCTCTGTGAACTTGAGAGTGAAATGATTCCCCAGAGCTATGTCCAGTCGAATTTCGCAATATCTGAAGTTGGCCCACGAGGCAATGATTTGAGACTCTCCACCGAATCAAAATATCACTCCCAAAGATATTGTTTCCGACCGAAGCCTGATCAAGTGTGCAAGTACGACCTAGCACATCCCTACCTAAATGACCACACTTCTCGTCAAATCAGCTTTTAGCCTCAAATGGTCACCAAAAATACGTCTATGCCGTATTTATACCCGACAGAGGAAACAAAGTGTGGCCCGCAGATCTTGGATACAGTTCCTGGGGATGGACGCGAGAGAAATTAGGACCAGTCTAAAGGATGAAACAAAGGATAGGTACAATCTTGAAAGGATAATATATGAATTTTAATAAAGGGGATTTTAAAACTGAGCATTGTGCACTATAGAAGTTGATTTGAGTGTTCGCAGGCGACACTATAAAAGTCGTCATGGCTGAATGGTGCAGTGGTACATCATCAGGGCTAGTCTCCCAAGTAGATCCTTGATGACTTGGACACAAATTCCACGTGCGACAGGAGATCGATGGTTAGAATCTAACGAGCCTGAATCACGTTTCTCGCGACACTGGTGTGCGTGGATGACGAAGTCACGCTTGGATTTTCAAAGATTTTGAAACTTCCCTCTTACGGGTACTCACAGAGGACGGTCGAATGTTTGTGTAAGCAAACAATGCTAGAGATTTAATCTGTCCATAACTCTGAGCTTGATGATGGCCAGCAAGACGAAGAATATCATGAACTATCATTTAAGATAAAAAGGCGAAAAGGCATTAATTAGAAGTTGGGACCGATATAGTAAGGGGTGATCAGCCCAGAGTAGGTATGGGCATTGTGAATTTAGTCGGAAGCATCATCATGTTTATTTATTTATAAGACTTAACGTCGTGCCCGCGCACAGCACGTGAGCTTTTCACGTACCGGTTAGCCCAGTCTAAATTAAACCACCCGACGTGTTGGCGCCTGAACAGTCCCAACAAAGCAAATGATAGCCAGGATCTTATTACCTTGCGCTCGAAGATTAAATTATACATGAAGGTCATCCGTCCAACGAATCTCATGCTATGCAGTTGGTACTAAATGATGATAAGATTTTACCAATAAAAATGAAAAGTAGAAATTGTTTATATCAAATTGTGATTTCGTTCGAATCAGACTTGTCGTTATGCTCTTTCGGAGAAATATGTGATACGCAACCAGCTGTTGAATGCATTAACTTCCGCCGCCGAAGCAAGAGCCCAAGATACGCTGGGATTAGAATTCTGTGCCCTATGGAGCTGAGCCTGGTATTGCCCAAGGTGGCAATATAAATCATCATCATCATCATCATCATCATGTTAAAGAGGAGTCAAGTGCGCAATAAATATATATATATATATACGTTTCATATCCCTGTCAAAAATTACGAAACCCCGCACTGCCATAAACACCATCAATCTCTGCTATTCATCGTTATCCTGAGTATCAATATGAGTTACTAATACACGGTATGTTTGTACGGGTCGATATCAAGATAGAAATGTTGACAAACATACCTCATAGTGGTATTTGCGAGTGAAATCCCGAGCATGATTATCTCGGACGTCAAAAGAGTCGTCAAACATGTATACATAGCTGTGGTCATGTGTCGTAACTAGATACCAGAATACAGGTCCAATGATTAAAAATCTGCGAACAGGGTTAGAGTTGTACGCTATAGTGGCAATTTGTCCGGGCACGAATATCAAGCAGAGTCTCGATGGTCTAAACGCCTGGCTAACTCAGAATAGAAGTGTGACGGAAACCGAGTTGGTGATGAATAAATCGATTTAATAAACTATATGAGGAGAAAAGCTAACTCTACAAGCGCCACTGTCTCTATCAACGATACGGCACCGGGGGCGGACAAGATAACGGTACGGTTACTCAAAGCCTGTTGGTCCCATCTAGGACCTCTCGTGAAAGATCTTTACCAGGCCTGTCTGAAAATCGGCTACTTTCCCACGGCCTTCAGGGTGGCAGAAGTTGTGCTTCTTCCAAAGCCGGGTAGAAATCTGTCAACTGCCAAGGGTTGGCGACCAATCTCGCTGTTGTCGAGTTTAGGTAAAGGACTTGAGCGTCTAGTTGGTAAGAGAATGGCATAGCTGACGATAAGTCACCAAGTTGTTCACCCACAACTATTCGGCTCCGTACCAGGAAGATCTGCAGTCGACCTTGCATCCTGTGTAATCCATGATGCTGAGGCGGCCATGAGAAGTGGTAAGTGTGCGGCTATGGTCACACTCGACATTCAAGGTGCATTTGATGCAGTCCTTTGTTGTAATTCTAACAGTCCTGCACTTGTTACACTAGTCATGTACTATCTCGTTTTCGTTTCCGTTATTCGTATCATTTAATACTGCGCCACATCTATTTTCTGTAATATTAATTAGTCTTGGCGCTTAACACAAGATATGTTGGAAATTATGGTATATGCATGATTCTGTCTTACACTCAGCTAGTTTGGGGGTCTACTGGTGGTCAAGACATACCATCACCATGATAATGTCGCCATACTGGGACATGGGCGCATATCCTGGCTTATTTCTAAATTCGTCTCAGTAGGAC